ATGTGGAACATGTTTACTTAATACATAAAATATGCTTTTGTTAATAAAATAAAAAGTTTGAAATATAGAAACTATTTACGATTAATTTTAATAATTTTTAAGTGGTCCTTCATTTATTGGGGGGCACTGTATATACAATATAATATAACTTTATAAATTTTATTATAAATTTTAAAATTAATATTAATAATATTGATTTTCTATATTAATATATACTGTAAATCTATTTGTATAAAATAGGTTTGTATTATAAATTTTTGTTAAAATAAGTTACAATTAACTTATATACAATATAAACATTGTTAATATTAATATATTGTTTAATAAAAATCTTCTATTTGATATTTATTTATAATTGAAAAAAATTTCATTTTTTAAATTTTTTAATATACTGTATATTTTGAAATAAACTTTTTTCTATATTATTATTTTAAAAAATATTAATTATATCGTTTTATATATAAATATAAAAAAAACTATACAATAAAATATGTTTAATTATTTGATACATACTTTTATGTGTAAATTATAACCAGTTTTTTTACTAGAAAATCAGAAAATGCATTATTATATAATATGTAATTTTTGAACTATCAGATTAAAAAATTTCATTTAAATTGTAATTATATCGATTTTCCTTTTAAATTAACAATTAATATGACAAAAAGACGAAATAATTTTTAAACTTAAGTTCTTAATTATTATATATTTCTATTTTACAAGTATCTTGAAATTATTATTGAAAATAGTCAACTAGAAAACAATAAGAATTGTTATACTGATAATATAGTATTTCATGAGATTTTTAAGTAAACTGTGTAGTCACAGTCTTGGTTTAATGTATCTCAAATTCAAGCGATTATCGTAATTATTGTATATCAGTGTATAATTTAATAATTTAAAATTAAATTCCTGATTCCAAAGCAGCGTGAGGGTTATCTGCTAGTATACTTTAATGTAGATAATGTATCCATTGAATTAGACTAACCATTAATTATTTTAAAGACTGAAATTTGTAATGTATATTGTATACTGTAATAAAGAACAAGTGCCACTTGCGCCACAGCTAAATTGATTCAATTTTTTTAATACAGTATAGATTATTCATTACAGTATTCTTGTAATTAAAGTACCGAATATCTTTTTTTACTTTAACCTTATAAATATAAATGAAATATTTCCATGCATAAAGGTATCACAAGATCTTTTTCGTGTTGTTTTCATACTCTGAAATTTATTTTAAAAAAAAATGGGAAAAAGAAAAACAAGAAGCAATAACAAGAATGTATCGGATAAAGTTGTCGATGATCCCAATCGTATGGATGTGTCTGACGAAGGGGATCCATCTGATGCCTTAGAAAATGACAATGATGACGTCGAAGTAATTATTTTCTTTTTAATTAATAATATCACCGTGTTATTCAAATTTTAATGAAATTCATAAAATATTAAAGGAAGGAATAATAGACGTAGACTTTGATTTTTTTGACCCAAAAAAAATCGATTTTCATTCAATAAAAAATTTGTTGATTCAATTATTTTCTTCGGATTCCGAGTTGTTTCACTTGAGCGAATTGACAGAATTGATTATTGATCAACCGTTGTTGGGTAGTACTGTTAAAGTTGATGGATCGGAATCCGATCCTTACGCTTTACTTACTGTGCTTAACATTAACAAACATAAGGTAATAGAAAGCTTTATATCTTAAGTACTTATGATGATCCGTGTATAACACCATTCACTCTTGTTTTTATAATATAGGAAAAGCAATGCATGAAAAGTCTTGTTGGTTATTTGTTGGAAAAAACAAAAAAGGACTCTAGATTACATGATAAACTTACCAACCTTTTCAGAGAAAATTCTGAACAACATGTTGGACTAATTTTAAGTGAAAGATTAATTAACATGCCAGTACAGATTGTTCCGCCAATGTATAAAATGTTACAAGAGGAGATTCAATGGGCTATTGAAGATGCAAGTATTTTAAATCTTTAACTTAAAGATTATACTGGATTTGATCTTATAAGTATAATCATGTGGTATCATAAATATTTTACACTAGAATGAACCATATGAATTCGAGTGGTATCTCATTCTGTCTAAAACTTATAAAGAAGTTATGTCCACTGTGGATGATGCAGATGTTCAAAAGTCGAGAAAAAAGAAAGCGAGGGTATGCATGCACATGTCACATATCCTTTGATTTCATTAGATTTATCTTTTTTTTTTTTTCATTCTGCGTATAAAATGATCAGTCAGAACAAACGACCTTTTATTTTCATGCTGAAGATGAAATAATCGAACAGGTAAAGAAGATGCTTAACTAATTTCCTTACCGCGCAACATATTAATTCATATTATTTAACATATCAAATCGAAATTAAAATAGAATTCGGATTATCAACTAAACTTTGAGTTCACGAAACAATCAACGGCAGTGTCAGATTCTCGAAGGGCTTTTAGTGATTTTGGTATCGCACCCGAAATGAAATTATTTTTATTACATAAATCAAAGTTTGATAAATTAATTCAGGATTTAGAAAATGCCTGCAAGTAGAACACGTTTGTGTAAGTTAGGAAATCGCAATGAATCGACCATCTGCTTATAACACGTAGCACATGTTAATGCAAGAAACATATGCTATGATCTTCTATCATTTTCGTTGGTCAACCTGATCTGTTCTATTCGGTATTTTCATTTACGATATTTCGTGAGCATTTACTAAACTCAAGTATTTTAAATATATATATTGATATTTTGTAAAAAACAATTTATAAACATTTTACTAAAGTAAATTTTTGAAAAGAATTTTTTTCGACTTTGGCATGCGCCCGACTGATCTTTATTAAAAAATTTTGATATTACAATAAATGACTCCTATTGTATAATAATTTTTCTATATAAATACTGGTTTATGTAAGAAAAATTTTTTATTTTGAAAGAGCAATATAAATAAATTTTCATTTCCTTGGATATTATACTCTTTCTATATACTTTCCTAATACAAGCCCTAGTTTAGATTATCTAATAAGTGACAATTACCAATATTTTTGGATATAATTTGAAATTTTGAAATTATACAAATCACATAAACTTATATTGTATATACTGTATAACAAATTATTTAGATAATTATAATTTAATATAATTTAAAATAATTAGATTTAAATTTAAAAAAAACAAAATATTTTTATTTTTAATTTTTAAATATTATAAATTTAAATTTTTTAAAATCATATTAAAAAATTGTAAATTGTATTTTTATATTTTTTGAAAACTTTTGAGTTTTAAAATTTTCTTTAATAGGATAACTATATACTGTATATATAAATATATAATACAAGTTATAATCTTTTTAATTTATATAATTTAACAAAAATTTCATTAAAAATTTTTATTTCTTTGTTTTTATTTACTTTTATTTTTTTTAGTATATATTTATTAAAAGATTTTTATTAAACTTTTGTTAATTATTATTACATTAAGAATATTTATAAAAGCAAGTCAATTTTAGGCTATAAAAATAAATTGATATATATAAACTCTAAAATCTTAAGAAAAAAATTAAATAATAATTAGTTATTAATTATATAAAAACCAATATATACATATTAAAAAGAATAATAATAATAAATTGATACAGTTAAAAAAATTAATTTTTATTTATATTGGATTTAAAAATTAATTTGTTATAGTTTATGAATTTTATTCATATTGAAAAATCTTGTTTTTAATATAATATAATTATTTTATATTAATCTTTTAAAGAATAATTTAATTATAATTTTTATAATAAAAATAAAATTAAAAAAATAAAACAAGAAAATAACTTTATAATAATTTTCTTTAAATATATAATAATAATAGCAAAGTAAAATTCAAATAAAAATATTTATTTAAATTATATTTTTATTTAATTTTTTCAAACAAAACTAAAATTCAATTATATGAAATCTTATTTTTTTTATGAATATTACTTTCTTCAGGTTATATTTATTTTATTAAAAAATTTTTTTTATAATAATTTTAAGCAAAAAATAATGTTTTATACTCTTTATTGCAAGTAAACTTTAGCTCAAGAACTCAAAAACCTTTAAAACAACTGATACAATAAGATGAGATCTCTGATCAAAGTTTACTCAAGTTTAGAAATCTTGCTTATTTTTCAGTTATATGAAAAATATTAATTGAAATCCAATTATTAGGCAATATATCACTTGTCAATTATTTAACATACAATAAATAATTTATCAAGTATTCATCAAATATTCAGCAATAATTCAACATATTAAATTTAGTAATAATTATTGAATTGTTAACAAATGTTTGACAAATTATTTATTGTATGCTGAATAATTGGATTTCAACTAGTAAAAAGATCTATAACAATTTTCTTTTCTTTTGTTTTTTTATATCATCTCTTTTTTACTATATTACAAAAACTATCTACATTAATATTATTATATTTACTAAATAAAAAACTTTTTAAAAAACACATTTAAACAAAATTGTTAAATCTATTGTTTGTTTTAATACAACCTTTATATAAAACTTTATTATAATACTATTTACAGTACTTTCAAAATTTCCAAAAAACTGAAATTGGTTTATCTCTTTTAAATAATTGTCACTCTCCAATTATTCAATCAGATTTTATTAAAACAATAAAGAAAAAACCATACTTGTCTAAACCAGTTTTTTAATATAACAATAACAACAATAATAAATAATATCAATTATACTTTATTATTCATGTCAACAAGGATCATATTTCTAAAATCAGTACCAGTCTATAAGTTGAACAATTGGTCACATTTTAGATATTTTTTTTATTTATATAAATCTTATGGTTTAAGTAACTCAGTTTTAGTTTCAATAATTAATATTATTGTAATCTAGTTTTTTTTTCTTTTCAATTTTCTTTTATTTTCTATTCTTTTTACATTTAATCAAAAAACTTTAAGTAAATAAGTATAACTCCCCTTAGCTATATTTAGTATATATAATATTGTTTTAAATTCCTTTTAGCATTAGCTAAATATAGATATGTAGGCAAGCTAGGTTTTAACTTGTTATACTGTATGCTTTGCACCCAAGAGATATTTTTTCTTTTATCATATATATAACTTTATAGTATAATACAATAAATAAAAAAATAATATTTATCTATTAGAAAAAAAAAAAATTTTTTTATTTTTTTTTAAGCCTGCTGATATAAATTTTTATTATCTTTAAAAAAAGTATACAAGAAATATTTATACTTATAAACTTGATCTAAAAAGATTAAATTAAAATTAAATATCATTAGTTTCTATTATATAGGATTTCTAACAGTACTATTTTGATATCAAGTTAATTATAAATTTAATATAATATATCTTAATTTATATATTAAATTTATTATAAGTTGATATCAAGTTAATATTATTTTAATACTCAGTTTAAAACTTTATTATCATATGACTTATTAATATTTTATATAATATCTAATTTTATATTATTTTTTGAAAATATAAGAAAATATAGTATAGAAGGATTATCAATTTGTTAAGACTTATCTAACAAGTCATCTATACTATCTAATATAAGAAATTTAATAAATAGCTAATAAATTGTACTAGAAAATTAATAAATTATTTTCTATTTTTCCAGTCTAAAGCTACCTATATTTTTAATAACTAAATTAGCTTTTCTATTTAAAACATTTTTATCATTAATGAACTAAGATTCTTGGTTTACTGACTTCTCAAAAAAAAAATTTGTAGTCAAATTACAGAACAATTCTCTTTAAGCTAAATTAAATAATCATTTAGAGTTTTAAATTTATTTTTAACTAAAAAAATAGCTGGTTTTTTTGAGTTTTCCTTGCTAATCCTAAAAGCTAAAGATTAAAATATGGTTTGAAAAGACCATTATCAATAAATTTTGAATAAAATTTTTCAACTAATTCTATAATCTTTTCTGTAAATTATTTAAGTTTTTTATAATCTATAAATTGGATATAAGAAAAAATAATATATCAACTATATTTCTTAGTATATTGAATAAAAGAATTTAAGTAAGATATATAATTAGAAATAGGACCTAATATATTTATACAAATAATTAAAATTTGAGATAACAAATTATTATAAGTAAATTTTGTATTATTTAAAAAAGGTACTTTAGGATTTGTGGGATTAAATTTTTAGCCTTACATCAATATCAATTATCAAGTATAGAAACTAGTTTTTATTAATACATTTGTGAATATTTGATATTTTATAAACTTCAAAAGAATGATTAATTATTATATAATCTTTTTCTACTATTTGAATTATATATTGAAAATAAATCTTTTCAAGTTGATATGTATTTAAAAATACAGTATTATTTCTATTGAAAAGTTAATATAACTATTAGATACAAGCCAATATTTATAAAATGTATATTTTCTATAGTTAGGATTATAGTCAAAATCCATTAAATTTATAAAAAGTCTTTTTGCTTTATTATATTTAACCAACTTTTGATTCAAGTACTATTGTTATAAGATCGAAAAGCCATAATTTGAAGAATTACTTATTTGCTTGCTTTGCAATAATGATTTATAAAGATATTTTTTTGCTTCACTAGAATTTTCTTGAACTATATGATACTGCTGCCCAAATTGATATTGTTTATTTTGAGATTTTCAATGAATTATGATAAAAGAGTATTTTAATATAGAGTTTCATTTATAACTAATTTGAACTTGGGCTTGGCTGATTAAAGGCAAACTGATCTTTGAATACTTAGACTGATAATTCTTGAAATTATAGATATAGGATTAGTTTTGATTATTTTCTTGAACTATCAGAAACCTGTTGAAAGATATTTTGATTGTTTCTGATTTTGATTGTTGATGAGACTGGGCACCATTGAATAATATTATAGGTTACTAGAAGAATATTGGCTATATATATATCTGGAGTAGATAAAGTAACTTTGGTTTTATTAATAATGACATTGTCTTTGAAAGCTTGAATAGAGAAGAAAAAAGAACAATTGATCTTAGAAAGTTGGGAAGAGGGGGAGAATTTGATGAGAGACAAGTATCTTATAAAATTTTTTCTTACGATTGAGAGATGTTCAGTGTTTCTTCAATTAGATTATTAAGATAAAATTTTGATTGAGAAAAGTTTTAAAAAGATATCCATAAGAAAGATACAAATATGATTGTAAAGGTAATGAGACAGAAATTATTGTAATTCATATTCAAAGGACAATCTTGACACTTGGTAAGATTTTTAAATTGGTCTATTAGATAGTGTTTTTTTTTTAAAATAAGTTTTCTCTAAATTTCATAATTCTTTTATAGGTTTTAATAATAATATACTGTAACTTGGGTTGACCAGTTAGAACATTGGTTTTGAATTGGGAATAGGTTTATATATACCTTTCAGGAAGAGAGTACTGACAAAGTTTTGAACCAGAGTAGTTCTGAATTACATCTTGTAATCCCATGTGTAAAATAGTTTGAAACTATATGAGTTTAGTAAGAATTTGAGTAATTGGTTGGTAAACTGGATATTCAA